AATAAATACAGAGACGTCGAGTTCTATTATTACAAGAAAATCAAATTCAAAGTATTCTAATCAAATTTCAGTGTGCACATGTGTCTGATTATAACTATCCAGAGAAAAAATAAAAGATAAAGATTACAAAAATAAAAATGTAAAATATGTAGAAGGAGAAGTATAAAAAAAATAATACATTAAGCAGAACCACTTTGACTCAATCGACAGGGATAAATGCTTCTCGAGAACGCATAAATAATCGGTAATTTGCATGGTACGCCATCGACACACACGATACACGCGAAAAACCACGAACGCTGCGAGATATCGTCGAGATCGTACGTAATGGATGCTCGTTGATCCGGCAAATTCATTAACGAGGTAATATTAATTGCACGCGCGTCGATCATAATTACCCTGAGGGTTTGCCATCGATTACGGATTCCCGCTTGAATGTACTCATCAGTGATGACCCTGTTTATTTCTCGTATCATCGATCAGATATAAAAGGATCCGTGTAAAGCTTAAGTCTTTTCAGAGACACCCCAAAAAGATTAAACACTACCAATTCCGAAGTGTAAAATAAGGTAGGGTGATTCGAAGAATTACTTGTTCCTAAAAAAAATTGTTTAGGTTAGAATGAATATTTACAAAATTTTTGACGGTAATTATCTTTCGCATTCTTTACGAATATTAATATTTCCCGAACATAACCTAATTTCTTTTTTAGTCGAAGGTTTATAATATTTATAATTTCTATAAAGCTTGTACCTGAAAAATTAGGTTTCTTCTTCTATGATAGCTACGATAGTGTTTCTCTTTATACTCGATGGTACTTTATATCCCAGGGTAAATTTGCACGCTGAAAAAGTGATACGAATATAAATGGTACATGTCATAGTTCTTGGACATGAGAGGTTAAGAGGATCACCTTGAAATTGATTTTTCCATTTATTCAAAATCCATTTGGCATTTTTACCTATGTTTCATTAGCATCATCAATCCTTGTAACCTCGACGACGAACTCAAAAAGAAAAATCGGCAGAATCTGAGCCAAGGAATCAATTAACCCAAAATCCCCCTTAATTCTCCATCCTCCAGAAGCATCAAGCCACACGACCTGTGCACTACTGTACAACTTCACCCCATGAAGCATTACCGTACATTCATAAATCATGCCGCATACCAAATACATCCAACACATCAACACTCGTGTTTCATTAACTCGCGACATAACCTGCCTTCCATTGAACATTCTAACACACTCACCGAAAGCCTAAATATCCCTGGAACATTTGTTAATTTCAACCGAAATCGGAAAGCACGAATTGAAAGCTTATATATATCTCTAAACGAGAATTTTTCAAACTGCCAACGAACATGTCTGCCACCTAACCTACACCGGATCCACATCGAACGATCTTTCGATTAACAAAGGCGGGAATCCGACAGATGTCAGCATTTGTCCCAAATCTCGAACCTAATATGAAGCGAAGCAATATTAATTTATCTGGAACCCAACAGATGTCGCCAATACCCCCAAACATGAGGAAACGGCTCTACATCGCGAGGTGCCCTGTGCACACCGGAAATAATCTGTGAAACTGTGATTTACGTTTATCCATACGTACAGCACCGAAAGAAACGTAGAAAAAACGAGTAGAAAAAGGGAGCGGAAGCTCGAAAGAGCGTACACAGTAGCACGGCGTGGCACCGTGAGGCAAACGCTCGAATACCATTGGCCGGCGACTTGTAATCGGACAGCGGAGAGTTTGAGTGTATATGGCACTGCAGTGGTCACATCGAACGGATTCACCGTTACGTAACCGGCGGCTATCCGCGGGTCAACACACGGCCAGAGGCTTCACCGTTCGAGGAACTTAGGTTTTTCGATTAAACGACTGGTCCAGAGGGGACTTCGAGACGCGTTATCGCGGGGGATCGTCGCGGGCTGCTTGGACGTTCGCTCGGGAATTACGGGATGCTCGGATCGCGTAATGAATGTCAGGACGTCGCGGGTGATGTTTGGAAAGTCGCGAAGAGGGATTCGCAGCGCCGAAGCGAAATGACACGTGATAGGTGGAATTCGAGTGGATTAATTTTATGGCTCGAGGGCAAATCGCTCGGTGAGATAATACGAAATTGTTGGGAAAATTCATGAGCTGAGTAGATTTAAATATCCCATTTGGATTAATGAAAAATTTTGTTTGCTTCGCAGGCAATTCGTTTTACAAATTTACAATTAGCAAATTGCAAATGGCTGTCGCATATGGAATGGAGGTTTTTTGGAACTAAATAAGATACATTTGTCGAGAGATAATTAACCTATCAAAAAGGCTTTTGAAAAAATTGCTTTTGAAAGTCTAACAAGATGGAGCGAAATTCATAGTATTTTCGAAAAAAAAAAGATAGGATGTACAAAATAATGAGCATGAATAAATCCTGACACTTAATCATGGCAAGACAGTCTAGAGACCAGATAGCATTGGACTTCATTTTTTTGAAATGGTACTTCGTGATCAGTAATCCAGGTAAGTTATAGATGTGCCTAATTAAGCATATTTCACAGTTTCATAATTTATTCCTAATCATTAAGCGATATAAATGATTCACAGAAACTGATGCAGTGCAAAACAAGAAGTACAGAAAAATGAATTTGAATCGTTAATTTTTATAAAAACAAAATTTATACAAGAATGTATAACCATTATGTCACATTGTATCTGTAAGTATATAAAAGTGAAATGAAGTTCATATTAAATTACTGCATAAAATACTTAAATTGACTCAGAGTTAAACATAACCTATAAAATGATGCAATTTCAGCACCAGGGCTACAAAATGCAGCAGATGTGGAAAAAAGAAAGAGCAAGATACATTCTAACCTCAAAACAAACCGCACGCTTCTCGACACTGCGCCTGGAACCCCCGTTCACTCTCGCCAAAAGAACTCTTTCCATTCTGGCGATCGCTAAATCGCTCGAGTCACGTTCTAAGCAAATCAAAAGTGCAGCATGTTACACACGCGACCTCTTATCACCGTTGCGGATTACTATTGTTACGACAGTTATCTCCGCGCAACGTTCACCATGGAAATCACTGCCGGAATATTAATTCACCGTGCAACGAGAAGAAACGGAAAGCTCCATACCCGGCGTGCATCCGCGCGATACTATTAACCAGCGAATTATTGCCGTGACATTACTACGTGCACGCCGGCGATACCAGTAAAATCTGCTTGTAAAAACCAAGTTCCTGAATCTCTGATTGCATTCCTACGGCCATTAGCTGTGCAATTATAATACGGTTACTCGGTGCTCGCGTTGCTCGTGCCCGCATTTATAATAGCGTGCGCGGCGTATCATTACGCGGTTACAGTAAAGCCCACGGGTAGTAAAGTTCCATTAAAACGTGGATTTGAAATAAGAGTAGGAGCCTCCCCTGCGCCCTCTGAGTCGTTCGGAGCACGGCCATTAGACGGCGTTCGCATAGGCGTGTTCCGATGAGACATTAATGAATGACACCACCGAGCGATTCAGGCTAAGAAGAAGTTATCTTCATTTGGATAAAGGACGTCTAATTACGTCAAAATCACTATTATTCAAACCTACATATTACATACCTTCCGGTATTCGAATTTCCCGCTATCCAATTGTATTACTTAATTATATTACTTATTTCCGTACGCAGGCATCCTACAATTCGAATTTCCCGCCGCGCGGAAGTTTCGTTATTTCAAATTTCCCGCCGAGCAAAAGTGTGGTTATTAAAATCGTTTCGCTATCTAAACCTTCCATTGTTTAAATTTTCTATTGCGCCAATATTTTGCTGTTCAAATTTCTCGCCATATAGAATTTTCGTTTTAATATTACCGTTATCTAAATGATTCACTTACTATACTTGCGCTGTTTGACGCTGTTTGACGCTGTTTGAAAACACGTTACACACGGTTTACTTTTCAAACACTCGCGTCTGGTAAGTGGCTGAGCAGTTTTAGTCAAGATTGTATTTTGATTTCGTGCCCTTGGAATGCAAAGCAATGCCAACTAACGGCAGATCTAGCCATCAGTCGGATCATTATTTAACAGTATATCTAATCATTATCTACTCCGTTTGTAGCAATCATCGTCGTGTCGAGGCGTGTCAGAGTTGTTGTAGGAATGCTGGACGGGAAGGAATAGCGTTTGAATTACTGTGATCGAATCGAAAGTGGTATGTTGATACATTTGTGACTCGCACTTTGGACTTTGTTTTCTAACGTTCGGCGTGATACGACGCATGTTAATGATGATCGATTAAATTGCCTCCAATTGGCTTCGAGTGCCTCTCTATTGGCAGCGTTTAGCGTTGCGGAAATGGAACGTAATTAGTTCCTTATAGGGGATATGTGTACCAACTAGTAAGAAATTTCATTTTCAGATGCAACATTCAGAAATGTTTAAGTTATATAAATATTATTTAACAAAATATCCCTAGATAGGAAATTCTAGCCAGTTCAAAATGCAATAACAATGTCATCACCCTAGTTCTTGTCACTAGTGACTTTTGTATACAGATTGTAACTAGCATTTATTTTTTAGAACTAGATTAATTTATAAAGGCAGTATATCCACGATAACGACTTTCTCACACGGTAGACACGGTATATAGGACATTGTCCACTAACAGAATTCACTAAATAACCTCAATAAAAATTTGTTAACCGATAAATCGAAAATTTCGTTTAATATCGCAAAAATTCCATCTACGAAGCATCGTACGATAATTTAAATTGATTTTAGTATTTCTCTGACCCCCCAAAAGTTAGGAAAAGTTTTGAACCGTTGTTTCATTCGTAGTCTAAGAAACTGAGAAGTCCATTTAACTTGGTTATCATAAATGCATTAATAAAAAGAAAATGAAAATTGTTTAAAGAGAGAAGAGGAACCAGCAGGGTACGTAAACAGATTAAAAGGAAGAAAAATGTGTTTCGCGGTAACCGGCATCCCTCGAGGATATCAGTTTATGAATTCACTTACCGTCTTCTCGACCCTCTGCGTCCTTGGCCTGGATAAGAATCGTTCTGGTGTAATTCAATTTTTCCAGCAGGTTCACCATCGTGGCCAGCCTGCTCCAGGCGTCACCGGGCGGTCTGCAAGCAGAACAAAGATTTCGATGGATGTAAGTAAGGTACGAGTCAAATTCCCATCGTTAGAGGCGTCTAGTTATCGGTTGGAATCGCGTAACTGGACACCGGAAGGACGGTGCTTCCCTCTCGCGATAAATATTCCAGCGGTGATTCAGTAACCTGCCGGAACCACGAACCAACGAAATACGTGTGGCACACGATTTGAAGGCGAATAAAGGGGCGCGCACTGATTGTAGGTGGCGCCACAAGTTTTGTTACTATATAGTAACAATCAAACTGTCGGCTTATAACGATCCTGTGACTCTGAGAATTTATTTTCCCGTGATTATAGTAAGTTTCTCTTTACTTTTCTCACGAAATATTGTAATAAATCTTTTTTAAAGAAAATGGGGGTGAAAACTTTTTCCAGGTAGTCCTACATTTTTGTGTGTTAAAATTTAATTTAAAGTGATAATTACACAGATAATCAATATATCGATCATGGAGTATTACCATTCCCCTAACAGCATCGATTCAGAAAACTCTATCAATTCCAAACTCTCGCAAACGATGAATCTTTGTTGAATGATCAATATACCAGGAATTTCCAAATGTAATTGCAAACGAGTCTTCGTTATCCAGATCGACAATAACGGGTCAAAAATGACCATTTTCCTAATAACATTGATCTATAAAACTCTACGAATCCCAAACTTTGGCAAACAATAAATCCTCGTTCAACGATTAATGCCACTAAACTACAAACCTAATCGCAAACGAATCCTCGAACAATGATCAATACCACCGAACTCCAAACCTAATTGCAAACGAATTCTCGTTACCTAAATTGACAATAGCGAACCAAAAATTACCATTTGCTTAATAACAATAATCTACAAAACTCTGTCGCAGAATTTATGTCACTAATTGCGATATCTCTGTTTATATGTTATTACTAATATAATCCATGTTTGTCCTCGTCATTTGTGTATCATCGCCTCAGTCCTCAGTCCTTGTAGAGCCGTTAGAATGTAAACATGTGAACGGGTAAACCATTGTCGTATTATACAAAGTGTAGTAATAAGAAAATAAAATATTCTTGTATTATAAAAAGCACCTTCTACTGCCATACAAGTTTGATTTTGCAACCACCAACAAACTCTACCAATCCCAAACTCTGGCAAACGATAAATCCTCGTTCGACGATCTATGTACCACCGAACTTCAAACCTAATCGCAAACGAATCCTCGATCAATGATCAATACCACCGAACTCCAAACCTAATTGCAAACGAATCCTCGATCAATGATCAATACCACCGAACTCCAAACCTAATTGCAAACGAATCCTCGATCAATGATCAATACCACCGAACTCCAAACCTAATTGCAAACGAATCCTCGATCAATGATCAATACCACCGAACTCCAAACCTAATTGCAAACGAATCCTCGTCACCTAAACTGACAATGGTTAACCAAAAATTACCATTTGCTTAATAACACTAATCTACAAAAGTCTACCAATCCCAAACTCTGGCAAACGATAATCCTCGTTCGACGATCAATATACCAGCAAACTCCAAACCTAATCGCGAACGACTCCCGATGACCCACGCAGGCCCAACCCATCTCTGTCCCCAACTACTGCCAATTCTCCGCGGTATTCCGAAGCGTCGATCCCAAAACGACCATATCCCATCCGATGCAATCAAAATTAATAGCAGATCAGGGTTTCACGCCTCTCGCGTTCATCGAACACGGCGTATCGGTGACATCGTTAAATATACGAGGTGTCGGTGAGGGCCGTTTCGCGCGCCATGGGAGTCGCGTTCGCGCGCGCCCATCGGCCACTTCCGTGTTACTGTAAATCCAAAGTCGTTCGTTTAATTATTTCCACCGCGATGAATGGCAGCGCGCGGGGGATCATTTTCCAAGCTATCGATCATTCGATGCTATCGCGCACGGTCCCGGAGGCGGCGATAAAGAAGCTCGCGGGCAGAAGAAGAAAGCTGCGGTGGTGGTGGAGGAAGAAGAAAGAGGAGGTGGAGAAGCGGATTGGAAAAGAAACGCGCACGACGCTTGACTCCGCGAGCGGAGCCGGGATTAATCGATTGCCGTCATGAAAGGTCATTCGTTAATTGCGCTCTCTCCGCGCGCTGCGCACGTTTCCGTTCCTCGTCCAATCGGCCAGCCTCTTTATCGCTAAATTATTATCGACCGCTTCTGCGGGGGCCTTATTGAAAATTAACGCGTCTCCCGTGAGAAATGCTTGAATTACGGAGACGAGGCTGCGAATCCAAGGATAGCAGATGCTACGGATCTCGAGTCACTGCGGAACCTAACTGCGACTCGTTGATGCAACGTGGATATAGGGGCTAGGTTTAGGTCTAGTCATAGGTTTGTCGGCTATGATCGTGGACTAGGTGTAAATAAGTGAATCTGTATCTTCTGAGATTCCATTCTGAGTTTGAAGATTGGCAAAGCTGTGTCAGATGTCTATATCTTGACATAAAACTGTTTAATCTGTAAGACGAGTTGTTTTGGGATACACAAATTATACCTAACACTGAAGATAGCTGATGAGCAAGGAAATACGTAAAATATATAGTTAATATATATAAGTAATAAAAATTTTTCTATATATGACATTTTTTATTATAATGACAGCGATCGGAATTAATTTGACAGTGTTTTATATATATTCTATTTGATTTTATATTTTATTTTATATATATAATTAGGCCTAAGTTGGACACCTATGGTATGGAGAGTGAGTTATTTATTTATAGAATATGTCACTTCAATTTAAGTGTCATTGAAAAATTGTAAAATCTCGAGATAAAACTGTTTAATCTTTAAGACGAGTTGTTTTGGGATACACAAAATATACCTAACACTGAAGATAGCTGATGAGCAAGGAAATACGTAAAATATATATAAGTAATTAAAATTTTTCTATATATGACATTTTTTATTATAATGACAGCGATCGGAATTAATTTGACAGTGTTTTATATACATTTTATTTGACTTTATATTTTATTTTATATATATAATTGGGTCTAAGATGGACACCTATAGTATAGAAGGTGTGTTGTTTATTTATAGAATATGTCACTTCAATTTAAGTGTCATTGAAAAATTGTAAAATTCGTGTTGTATATTTTTGTATTAATATTCAGAGTTTCTTGTCCATTAACAAAGTATTATTTTCTGTTCTGAACTGGAATATATTTATATGTAAAGGGTGTTTCAAAATTCGCGCACGATTTGAATTTCGCGCCATTTGCGCGGCAAAGTGTTGCCAACGGAAGAGAAAGACAGCGTGGTAGTTGACAGTTCAGGGTTATTAAAAATGGAGTGCTACACTAAAGAACAACGCGTTTTCATTATTGAGAAGTATTTACAATTTTGTATTAAAAACCTGTGCTTCTTATTTAAATTACTTGCACGAATTTTGGGACGAATTTTAACCTAACCTAATACATATATAATAGAAACTTACACCATAGTACAAAAAGTACACCATAGACAATTTAAGAGCCAGTACTTGCATATACGTGCAATTCGAACATAACCATAGGAGATAAAACGAACCTTAAAGCAAATAAATATCCCTAAGCCTACGAAGTCAATTAACGCCTAATAGCCAATTATGAGCGCATTATTCTTACCTAGCAACGGTACGAAATAATTATCTTCCTGACCTTAACGAACAAACACGCCATCTTGTTACACATGTATCAAACGAAAGTCGCAACGGATGAATGAAGAAACCTAGCTTCCGTGTGACTAGGTAATCAAGTTAGGTAAATAGCCTAACTCCTGCTTTCCTTCGTCTATAGAACTGTTATCTCTGTAAACGATACCCAAACCAAGAAACACGCTCATACCAGTTCAGACACCACCTCGTGATGCCTTCGTCAGACCACTTCTACCCAACAAGATGTCAAGACTCCCCAAAAAAGTCACCAATGCCCCAAACACGCTATACTCGAACTAGACCAACCTTCTCCCATGACGGACACCATAGAGCAGAAATAGAGAAGCTCGGGACGAGGAGAGGAGGGGATGGTAGACATGGAAAAAACGGTGACAGTGATTGATCTCGCAATTACACGGTCTCAGGCACGCGCGGTGGGAAGATCAAAGTTGGTATCCTCGGTGAATGGAGGTGAAAAGGAGACTGGAAAAAAGGGAGGAAAAAGGAGCGGAAAGGTGGTAAAAAGGGGAAGAAAATGAAAAAAGGAGTAGCAAGGGGATCGTCGAAGTCGCGATTCGACGGCAGATTAATTGCGATCCGCGTTCTATAAATAACACGGCGGAGCGGTATCGGGGCGAGCGAGGAAGAGGATCGAAGAGGATCGAGGAGGATCGAGGAGGACGTGGAAGAGGATCGACGACGTTACGATCGCGTCCTTGCCAAGGAAACGTTTCGCTCGCATAATTGTTAATCGCTAACGAGCAACAATAATTAACTTATCCAGACGGATATAGTGTAGCGGCTGGCTGGTAGGCTAGCTGGTGGGTTGGTCGACTGGCTGGCTGACTGGTTGCGCAAAGAGGCTTGGATCGCGAGCGTTCGCGCAGTTACGGGACTAAAGGGGCCTTGAAACTCGTTTAATGGACGATAGATCGCATCAGTCGGCCAAGCACGACTGTTTTCTCTCTTTTCGACCGCTCTTTTTTCTCTCGTCTCGTTAGAAAGATCCTGAGGATCGATACATTCCCTCGGTCCCCGCTCGATCCTGAATAAAAAGCCTTGTCTCCGATCGCGCTCGAATCATCGACGAAAAGACATCGTGTGCATGGCTGAAAGGGTCTGACTTTTTCTTTAGCTCGCAATTACAGCCCGCTGTAGTCATAATTAATCGAAATTATCGCGTACGATGGTTTGACAGTTTGACAGAGATTAGAGAATAAAGTTACACGATTTTCTTAAAGAAGACAATGGATCGGGGGAATTTTTAAAATTGAAGGTGCTCGATTAGGATTGTGCTAGTCAGATACATTTTAGTATC